TCAATGCTTTTGAAAAGCAATGAGGTCTACTTACTACTCTGGCTGTTTCTCTAGAGTGATCAAAGGATCTCCCACAGTTGGCTTTGTGGTGAATTTGTGTTACTAGTCTCCTGGTCCCAGTGTTACATGGGTCACATGATCAAATACTCCTTATTTGTTGTCATTCCTTTTATCTCCAGTTGCTGGTTACTTATGGTACTTTTGGGTTATTGATGCCATTAATGTCCAGGTGAACATTGTGTACTTCCTTCCACTAATCATGCTTAAGGTCAGTCTGTTAGGAGGAGCAAATGTATAGCAGCATTACTTGGTGGAGGTTAGAGACCATGACTATGCAAACAGTGATTTTTTTCTTATAGCTTACACACTACAGCATACAATTGCAATAAAAAAATCGCACAAATACAGTAATGTATGGTTATGGTAAACTGTTGTAGAGGCCTATTCTGTTTGTGTAGTTTATTCAAGATTGAAGCAGTCTATTAAGAACATGTAATTACTGGCAATCACTCAACTTCAGAAGAAAAATTGGTAGTATAACAAATAAACCGCAAAATGTGACACTTTAAAAAAATGTTAAGCATCTACAGTTTCTGGAAGCACCCACTGTTTCTAAACACCCTTCTTTTATCCCAGAAAGTTCTAATCTTTGTGTCACATGCATCCCTTTCTCCATCTTCCCTCGACGTACGGATTACAAGCCCAAGTCCTCTTCTTGCACACACCTTCTGTGGTTGATGGGATTGCTCCAGCTTTATGCGAGCATTTGCTGTTCTCTATAACCTGCTGATCCCTGTGCTAGTGAGGTGGCGTCCCGTGAGTTTGCATGCATACAGCTGAGATGTGGGTCCCTGCTTGTTGCACCCTGCACTGTTAGTCTTCTGGCTGGATACAGGCTGTGCTTCTTATAGCATCTGATGGAGAGGATGCTCTGTCTGGCACAGGTAGAGGTTGTGATGTTGGCAGGGTGACTTTGTGCAGTGTCACACTTGACTACTACTGTTTCCACTTCAAGGTATTTTTCTCATGTTAAAAATTTCACACTTTTATACTTCTATTGAATCCTTTTTTTTGTTTCGAAAGTTGTCTTGAACTTCCCCACTGTTTAATCCAAGTGATGATTGTATTCTTCAACACCATCAGTTGGTGGTTGATGACTATCTTCCCTTTTGACTTGATCAATTCTGGGCAGATGCCCTCCAGATAAACTAGTCTTTGGCACACGTAGAGAATGCACACTTGTATTTTGACCTTACCAGATACTGTTATCCAGCCCATTTGTCAGGAGCTGACTATAGGAGCAACCCCAGAATAAGTTCTCCCAGCCTGTTACATTCCACAAGATCCTTGTATTTGCTCTTAAAGAGACCATGCTCGTGGCATGGGGGCTCCAGGAACATCTATCCTTGTGTGTTGACATAGCCTAGAGAGGGATGTTTGCCTTCATAACTGTTCATTTTTCAGGTGGTGGGGATCTTCAATTTTGTGATCCTCTGCTGCTGGTCTTGGCCCGCAGTTGTTGAGTTATCTTTTTATATCCTTTAATTTCAGCAACCTGTTGCCTTCTGCAAGTTGCTCACTCCATTTGAACTGGTTGTCCATGTTCCCTGGTGAAACATAGAAACTGATTGACAGGTGAGTAGTTTACCTGATGATCATCATGCAGGTGTCTTACCTGCTCTGTTATTGCATTCGCCATTTAATCAAAACCTTAAATACATTAATGTTAAATTAGCAGTTTAGTTACTGCCAAGCTGCTCTCTTCAAAAATGGTAAATGTTTGCTCGAGGTTGGTCATTCAGTTACTGTCCAGTCTCTGCTCAGTAGTTCCCACACCATGGTTCTGCAGCCTCCTGCTGCATTTATGTTAACTTTCTCTTCCAGGAGCGTATAGGACAAGGGATGTAACCTCATGAATCTTTACTGCATGCCATACTATCCTCTTGACTGGTGACAGAGAACTGGGTTTGGGTGTGCTTTCTATACCCTCTAGGAGTCAACTGTTAATGTGATCTTGGTTTGCCTCTCAATGAGTCTGACACAACATTGCTGAGGCTCATACTCTCCCTATGTTTTCCCTGTTTAAGTGTTTTCTGGCTCCAACATGCAGGTGTATAGACTTTAATGTTAAGTTATAGCATTCAGTGAATGAAGTATTAAATCTTTGCTGGAATGTCTTACCAAAATGTCTTTTGTGTAGATTAAGGCTATTAGAAAACTGAATGGAACATAGCCTTCCACTGTTTGGATATATCATTCTTTTTCCCCTAGAATAGAAATCTGTAACAGTTGAACTTACCAGTTGTTGTGGTTTAACCTGGCAGGTAGCTAAACACAACACAGCCATTTGCTCATTCTCCCCCAGTGGGAGGGGGAGGGGAAGGTAAAACTCATGGGTTGGGATAAGGACAGTTTAATAGGACGGAGAATGAAGGGGAAGTAATGATGGTGATGATGATAACAGAACATACAAAAGAAAGTGATGCACAACACAATTGCTCACCACCTGCTGACTGATGCCCAGCCAGTCCCCCAGCAGCAGCCCCTGCTCCCTGGCCAACTATCCTCAGTGTTTTTGTTCAGCATGACATCTTATGGTATGGAATATCCCTTTGGCCAGTTTGGGTCAGCTGTCCTGGTTGTGTCCCCTCCCAGCTTCTTGGACACTCCCAGCCTCCTTTGACTTTTAGTGTAAGCGCTGCTCAGCAACAACTAAAACTTCAGTGTGTTATCAACATTATTCTTGTCCTAAATCCAAAGCACAGCACTATACCAGCTGCCAGGAAGAAAATTAACTCTATACCAGCTGAAACCAGGACACTGGTCTTCAGAGATGGCCCAAATTCCCCTCAAATCTCTCTGTGAGGTGTCTCCACAGAGACACATAGGGATATTACATAAGATAGAGGGCAGAGGCATGCCTAAAACTGAGAGAGAAGTTTAGGTGTAGGCATTTTAGCCACACAATAGACTTGTTGAAGAGCTGTGCTGTTACTCCTACATTCAATGGGGGTGTCTCTCCATTCCCTTTCTATGCACCGTCGATGAAAAGCTGGCAGTTGCCTGTATAGTAGTTGCTGATGACTTCTGAGCCTTGTGGTCAAGGTGAGAAAGTAGCAGGTGAAAGAGCGAAGCAGCCATATGTGAGGAATAGTATTCTCTTTGTCTTTGAGTCTTACACTGATCTTCTCAAATGTTCTTCCTAAGACAAGCACTTTTTGTTCAATACCACTCTTTAAGGTAGCATGAGTTGTTGTATTAAAGTTATAAAAATTTAAGGTTATGATCACAGTTGGAAACTTAGTTTTCTTCATGGAGCTAATGATGATGATGAACTAAAGTGGTACTCATTTTTATGGTCTTGATAGTGACAAGAATTGAGTTTTACTCTTGGCTAAATTGTGTGTTGCACGCAGTCAAAGTTTCCTCTATGTTTAGCAAGGATTTTACAGTTACTACTAGTTGGCGTCTTAGTCTTGTTTACATATCTCAATCATGTTTCTGGAATGTATAAATGTCTTAAATTTCTTCAGAAGTTATCTAATTCAAGGATATGATTGTTTTATCCCCTGATTATTTTTCAGGAAATACCTAGTGTAACATTTGCAGTCTGAAATCTTTAGCTTGGATGCAAAAGCCTGTTTTCTCATCTAAGATTCTTGCATCACTGTAAGTATTATCTTAATACTGTTGTTGATGTTTTTTTATGAATTTCAGGTCAACTTTGTTTTCCTGTTTTCTTTTGTTATTGGTGTTCTTTGAGAGCAGAGAAAGTAAAAGAGAGAGTGAAGGAAGATAGTTCTATCTTTGAATCTTGATAATAGCACCTGGAAATTTTTAATTTTGTGGCTCTTGGAGGCTAGATCTGAGCGATGCTTCTAATTTCTAAGTTTGAAATCAGGAGAGTCTTAAAATCTGAAAAAGCCCATGAACAAAAATCAGGAGAAATTGTCTTAACACCCTGCACAAAGCGTGTTGTTCTGTCCTAGATGGGTTTGACCATACTGAGAGGAACTTGCCAAGATGCAAACAGCATTCATGCTTCTATGTTATCATGGGTTTTTTGTGCTTTTCCATTTTTTGAGGACTGAAATAGTATTTGGCTTTGAAGACACTGTTTCTAACAACAACTTTCTAGAAGTAACATACCCAGTTGGGTTTGTTGGTAATAAATGTAAATTCTGGAATATAACACATGAAGAGTTAGAGATTTGTGACTATGTCACCTCATGGAGGTGTACTTACTGCCGTAGCAGAGGTGGTGATGTCATCTCCATGCTTCAGGCTGAGTTAATGCTACTGAGCAGAATTAGGGGCGATTTGCTTGTAGCTACACATGCTGTTAACTAGAGTTGCAGACTTGTGTTTCTTAAGAATTACTAAGTGCCTACAGTGTCAGGGAAGAGCAAATGACATGTAAATAAAAACAAGTGGGGCACATTATTATGAGATATTTGCTGAACCCAAATGAATTTTCTCCTTTCTTTTGTTGTATTTGAAAGTATAATTGAAGTCCAGTCTTCTTGTATGAAACTGACCTATATTATATTCTGTAGGTGCCTCTTCAGCTCAGCTCTTAAACTTTGTTATTGTATCATGTTACACAAATACATTGAGGTTTTTTCATCATTTTTGTATAAGAAGGTAAATATAGCAATCTATAGTTAAATTAAAAAGTTGTATGACAGTAGAATTAGTGAAATAATGTGAGGATTTTTTAATTCATTAGGTAGTCAATAGAACTGTTGCGCTGTCTTTTTGTATCTTAATTGTGTTCTGGGAAATAACTTATGCAACTTGACATTGACAACATCATTGTCCGTGGGATGTGCCAATGGAGTTGTTCTTTTACACAGCAATTTAAGTTCAGCGGTTCTGTTCATAAGGCATTCTAAATCATTTCTTGGTAAGTGAAGTAGGTTTTGATTGAAAGATCAAGGTTTGATTTTACTTTTTTAGGATTTTGGTTTTTTGGCTGAAGAAAAAGAAATCAAGAAAAGATGGACTGGAATGTAAGACCACTCCAGAATGCCGATGCAGAGAAGAACCTGCAAAGCGAAGCAGCATGTTACGCTCAGTTGTTTTCTAATGCAAATGCTTTTCCTCAGACAAATGCCTGTTCATCTAACAATGCATGCACTTACGCTGGAAATAACCAAATTATGTATCTGCCAACTAGCAATGTTGCCTTCCCTCTTGTAAATGCTGAAGGATTCAAAGCTTCAGATCAGGTCTTACCAGGAGCATCTGTAGCTGGTAATGATTTTTTAATCTCAAAATACTCAGGTGATCGACATCCACCATCTAGCATACCAATAGCTCCAAAACCTCCCAATCAGACATCACGTTTGCAGACAGAGATGACTCAGAATTCTTGGCCAAACTCTAATGCCTACGTTTATTCCCATGGAAAGTTACCTCCCCTGTCTTCTCAAATGAATGCTGGAAATAACATGAGGAATGTACTTCAGGAACCTCAGTATGTCACCACAAACGCATACTCTGTGCGGCCACAAATACCTCAGCATAATTCTATGAGAACTCCAACTTTATATCAAAGTAACGTTAATTCCCAGAATAATTCTATGTGTCTTGGTACATCTGGGCAGTATGTCCAAACCCAAATATATCATCCCAACGCTCAGTTTAAAGTTTTACGCTCACGGAATCAAAATACTGTGGCAAATGTACAGCTGCTACAATATCGACTGAGTCCGATGGGATCAGAAGCTCCTAGCAGATGTTCTGCACCACCTTTGTTGCCTGCTAACTGTGATTCAGGAGCTGCAGCACAATCTTCAATAGGTGTACCACAGGCGGTTCAAAATGTGCCTAGTGGATACACTCTTAGCCGACAGAGGTGCCCATCAGATCCAAAAAATGCTTCTGGTTTTAACGGTGTTCAGCAACACTGTCAGAAACAGCAATCTGGACAAGTCAGTCAATCAGTTAGGAATGTCTGTAATTCAAGTGGAAATGAGACAGCAAATCATCCTTTTAACGAAATGTCTGTGCCATCCCCTGGCATTTCCAAAGAACTCTATGATGTTCTGCAAGAAATGGAAACTCTTTATTCAGTGGCACCTTCAAAGCCACTGAGTGATCCTGCTTTGGTTCAAGAAAGCCAGACTAGTCGTTTAGTGAATGGGCCTGTTAATTCTCAAATTTCTTCAGCAGCAGCAGATGGAAGAACAGTTATAAAGGACAGGCTAGCTTGGGAAGCTCAAAGGCTGCTCACTATTAAAAAAAAAAGTGCCCTGCTTGAAAAGATGCATCTTTATAGGAAAAAACTCTTAGCAGCTTCAGAACATCATAAAAGTACTCCCCCACTTCCTCCAAGTTATCAAGCTGCTTTTGCTGATTGTCATTCCCAGGTGCCCAACCAAAATGTACCACCTTCCCCATCTGCAACAGCAAGGACAGAGTCTCCAATACTTAACTCTTCACCTGAAGAAAGAAATGACAAAAACGTAGCCAATGCTAATAACAGAGGATTAGAGGTGACTCAAAGTAACCCTCAGGTGGAGCAGGGAAGGCTTTCATCAAGCTGCACTCCTATTCCCTCTCAGAGCAAACTCCCAGCTCAATTAAATAATCCTGAGAGCACTCCCATCTTGGAACAAAGCGGTGCACGTGCCTTGGCGTCTTCTCAAAAAACTGTGACATCCTTGAACAATGCTTCATGTTGCAATCAAGTAGATAGCTCTATCAAAAGTGCATCAAAGAGTTTTCCGGCTAGCCCCAAGAACTCATCATTTCTTCAGTTTGTGTTGAGCAGCACAAATATATTGAAAGAGAAGACAGCTGGTGCTACTGCTGATAGAATACTGACTAGTCTCCTATGTAGTGAAAAACCACTGGTAGATACATCTGTCTCCGGTGGAAGTTTACTAAAAGACACTAGTGAGAAGAAAGTAGAAAGTTTGAAAGGTGAGCAGGCATTTATGGTTCACACAAAGTCTCCTGTATCTGAACCAACCAAATCTGATGAAGCTAAAGTCCAGAACGATTTAGCTCAGAAAAAAATGCCGTTTACGGAAAACGCATCTTTTAAACAAAGCAATTACAAGTACTCTGTGGAAGAGCTAGCGGCCTGTCTGGGCTTGTGGAGGAAGCATCCATCAAAATCTGTAAGTGAGCAAAAGAGCCAGTCAAATGAAAGCCCCACAGCAAATCAGATTTCAACTTCTAGCCAAAACACAAAAAATAGAGAACAAAATAATGTTCTGGTTAGTACAGATGAAGCAATTTTGCCTGTAACAACTGCTTCTGTAGGACAAAAACTTGATACATTGAGTTGCAATTTGATAAAAAGCTTTGAACTCCAAGTTGCAGTTGTTTCTCCTTTAGTGCTTTCTGAACAGAGAACACAGAGTGATCAGGCAGACAAATGTCCAATATCTGCAGGTAAAACCTATTCAGGGATTGACTTGGGACGCACATGCAACTTGGAAGAAGAGAAAAATGGTATAAGTGTGGTAAATGCCGATAAAGGAACAACAGAAACTGTTCAGTCGTCACCCAGTGATTGTGTTCTGATACAGAAAGTGGACTCACATTTGCAACAGACCAAATTAGCTGATGGAAACAGAATAGTAAAAAACAGTGTGAGTGCAAATGATTCATATAATGAAAACCAAAGGAAAGTTAGTCAATCTGCACAAGATGCTGGAGAAAATCTGCAGCCTGGATTACAAAACAAGCCTTCTCTTCCTGAACTGGGCATGAATTTTTCCAGTCAAAGCTTTCAAGAAGGTATAAGAGACCATAAAGACAAGCAGGCTGTGTTAGAGTCAGGAGATACATCTGCAGCTGTGTTGGAAGAACAGATGTTTTGTATTTCTAGTGTATGTTCTCTTGTTGAAGGTGATACATTTTATAATCCACAAATAGCAAGTATCTTCAGGTCAGTCCCTGAGACACATGCATTAAATGGTACCTCATCAGAAGGAAGTGCATCTGAACCAAGGCAAAAGGAGCCACAGCTGGACTTGTATAAAAATGAGCTGAGTAATAACACTCCCCAAAGAGAGAGCTCGCTGCAAAAGATGTTGGACAAATCAACAAGCTGCATGAGTAAAGCAGGTAAGATTTTGGATGGTATCACAACTAGTCATTTGGAGAAAGCAAGCAGTGGCAATCCTCTTAAGGCAATTTCTACCTCAGAACAAAAAAAGTCATTCGATGCATCTTTCAAGCATCCTAAAAATGACTTGGAAATTGTTGGTGGTATAAACCAGGCGTTAGCTCAAAATTCACTAGATTTCTCAATCTGCATAACTGCTGAAACAAATGTGTTCACTGCTCCAGGAGACAACAGTAAACAAAATAACATGTCCAATAAAAATAGCACAGAAAAAATGATTAACCTTTTTGGAGCACAACCTATTACATGTCTAAACAATCAGCTGTCTGAACTAGTGAAAGAGTTTCCATATGGCATTGAAGGTGTTGATATACTAACAAAAGAACCAGTACAAAATGATTCTGTAGATGAGCAGATGGAGAATCAACCTCAAAAAGAGACTCAAATCTGTGATGGAAATTCTCATTTGAAGGACCCAGTAGACCAGATAAAAATTGCCATGTTAAGCACTGATCAGATGCGAGAACTGTTACCTGCACACAACCAGTGTTCCTCTAGTGACAGCAAGAGAGTATCAAGTCAGCAGTCAGAAAAGGCTTCAGCTGAGGAGGAGAACCTTGGAGGCAGTATTCAGCCTAGTCAGAGTCTATGTGAGAAGAAAAAAAAGCCACAAAAACCCTCCAACCCCAGAAAAAAAAAAGATGATTGTTCTTTAATGGATTGGCAATCTGTAGCATGCCCCTGTAAACCTGGAACTTCTGGTTCAGACAAAAATGATGATCAGCTTTCAAAGGCTGAAAATACTAGCCTTGCAGACACACATGTAAACACCAGTAAATCTGATGCTGTAATGAAGAATGCCTGTGCAGTAGGAAACCTGCCAGTTTCTGAAGAAATCCCAGACAGCATTAGCAAAAAACATATTTGCAAATACACCTCTGTAATGAACAAAAAAGCTAGGCTGAAGGTGAATAATGAATACAAACCGCTTACAACACAACAGGAAAAAAATGGACTACTTAATTCCTCTGAAAATCAGGATGTTGATAAATCTGAAAGGAGCAGCTGGAAGGAAGAGCTGCAAATTAACAGAGACACCCCATTGTTAGACAAAGAATTTCATTCTGACAAAGAAGAACATCAGACTGTCTCAGAAGAGTTGTCAGAGCAAGCTGGTCATACGGACGCAGACAACGTGACAAAATCATCCAAAAAGAAAGAGAAAGTTTTCAAAAAAGAGTCCCTTTCAAAAGATAAAACCAAAACAAGTTTGGCCATGAAATCCAAAACAGACGTTCACAAATTTGCAAAGTCAGAAACTGTTGAAATTGAGCTTGCTGAAGTCAATGAAAGACAAAAAATTAAAAGCTGTGAAGAGAACTCAGCTGAAGAACAGAACTGTAGGAAACAAAAGGAGATACTTGGGCAAGATGTAGGAATTAACACTAAAGAGAAAGCCAAATTATCAGCAGAAATAAACCATAAAAAGCTGAATAGTTATCGTGCTGATACTGTAAAGTTCCCAAATATTGGCACTGTAGACGTGAAGTCAAGAAACCACAAATATTCTCAGCATAAATCTATGAAAGTTCATCCTTCACAGGAACAGTCGTACAAACGGAAGAGGAAGGAAAATATGATTGGGAAGAGAGACCCTAAGAAAACAAAGGTGGAAGAGGAAAGATTGAAACAATCCGAACCAAAGAATTCCAAGCAGCTTTCACATAATTGCATGACAAATACTGATAAAGCTAAAAAAATGAATGGAGAAAATGGCTGGAAACAGAAGAGTTCATTAGCAGATCGCTCTGTGCTCAAACTACAGAGAAAAAGGGCTCGATCTTCTACCATCTCTAAAAACTACTTTTCTAACAAAGAGAGACGTCTTGATGGTCAAAACAAAGACAAGTACTCTGAGAAAATTTTTCCTGATAAAAACCTGCTATACTTAAATAGAAGAAATAACAGGTTAAAATTGCATCTTCAGAAGGAACCAAAAAAACACTACCTAAACAGAGTTGCATTTAAACGTACGGCACAGGAACGCATATATCTGACAAAATTAGAGACATCACCTGTCAGGCCCGTCTGGCATACGAAGTCCAAAGTGTCACAAAACAGCCCAGATGCAAAAAGAGATGCTTGTGTCTCAGAAGTTGGGAAATCACGCAAGCAGGAAGTACTTGAATTTAAGCTGTGTCCAGATATACTGTTCAGAAATCCAACCACTGACGAAGAAAGCTTAGCTGCAAAGAATTCCCGGGAAAGAGAAAAAGCCGTTGTGGCAGGTATGTTGCTATCTTGATTATTAATTAGTAAGTTAATTAATTTGCAAGTAAAAAGTATGTACTCCTTTCAAAATTCATGTTACACAAAACTCCAGTAAAAACGTGGGACTCTAGAAGCTGACAGTTGAAGTGGCTTAGCTAGTTTTCTGACAGACTGTAGCTGTGTGTTAAGCTGAAAAAGAACATGAAACTTTTCCTTCAATTTAATGTTTTATTCTTTTTCCTTAAGGTTTACAGAATAAAATTCGAGTAGTTTAGAGCATGGCAGTTTGAAGTAACTTCACGAGAAGGCTTTTGAACCTGCTTGTAGAAGATAGCTTGGCTTGTTTGTAGAAAGCAGATTCCCTTGGCATACTTACCAAAGGTGACCTGATTTGTATTCAGTGTTCAGCTGGTTGTGTATAAATCTGGCTGGGTAGACAGCGGAGGGAGAGATCTTTCACAGCATTGAGGAAGAGAGTGGACTTGGGCCAGACATATCCCGCACAGTCTCTGTAACCTTTGCCAGCTTTGCTTTAGGCTGCCCTTTTTCCTCCTCTTCCTCCCTATCCCCAATCTTTTGAAATTTTATGTGGTGCATTGTGAAGTATGTTTGTGTCAAATGCTATATTTGATTTTTAAATACAAATAAATCTTAAAGTTGTACATACCAGCCCTTGCAGTCATTTTCACAGCCAAAGGAAATTGCATTCCTGTTGCATTTGCTAGTATATGTGTTAAAACTTCGTGCTGAATAGAGACCAAACCTTGTCATATAGGAACTTCAAAAACATTTTAAAATTTTCTCTTTAGGTGTCAAGAGTAAAAAAGAAGATTGGTTAAAATGTGATACAGTGAAGCAAAAAAAGCTGGAAGAGATTTCTACAGGTGAAATGACTTCTGATTATCTGCTTTGAAATATGTTAAATATTCTTTGCTTGGTTTTAAGTGTTCCTTTACAGTAGCAAATCTTAATAAAGTATTAAAGTAATAAAATATATTCTTTACTAGCTCTGCTGCTGAAATGGATATTGTAGAGTAGACAGAGCAGTTTCAAAGATTTGTGGAGATTTTTATTGCCATAAGAATATGTTGTTGGAGATTGTTGGAATTTTGCTGCATACACACATGCAGTTGAATTGGAGGTGGCGCTGGTGACAAGGTTCAAGTACGGTTTTAAACTGTGGGTAAAGACCAAGCTAGCTCTTTCCCACTTTAAAATGTAGGAAGTGACACAACAAAATCTAGTGTGAGACTATAAAAACAGAAAGTGATTTTTTAATTTTATTTGGTTTTCACAGTAAGTTAACACTGTCCACACATATGTCTGTGCTCACAAGTACTGAGACCTGTGTATCCCAGTGGCCTGGACAGGATAACTTGTATGACACACAGAGGGAAAAGTGGTGCCACTACTACATCTTCCTTGTTCCTCTTGATTGGCAAATTACTTTTTGGATGGTCTTTTGTAACCTTTAGGAGTCAACAGTTTCAACAGTGGCATCTTTCATCTCAGGATCTTGGTTGTTCCATCCTTTGTAAATCTTGGGCGAGGTTGCTCCCTGCTGTCTTTGTTTCTTTGCCTTAGGTATCTTTCTAGCTGTAGTCTTGTTTTCCTGCTGGTCTAACAGGATCCAAAATGGTTCATTCAGCATGCTGTAACCTTGTTGCCATCCTCTTCTTATCAGAGTGCAAGTCCTTTGCTGACAAGTTATCTGTGTTGTGGTCTTCATGCAAGCAACTCATGTTTACATCTTTTATTGCTGTTGAATGTGTCCTTGGCTATTGGTGTCTGCCATTCTTTTAGCCCTTCCTCTGGTTTCTTCTCTTTCACAAATACACATTTTCATTCACACCTATCTTAATATTCTTTAGAAGTCTCTCTTACGAAGACAGCCAAATGACCATTTGGTGCTTAAAGATGCATTGGAGATTGATTTAAATCTGAGGTGCCTGGTGCTTTAGGAAGGAAGTTTGTGGCATCCTTTTTGACAGTGAGTGGCCCTAAGTACCACCTGCATAAGGAGTAAAGTCATTTGAGACTCTTAGACTTTTGCTTTAACCTGTTTCTCTGTCTGTCTTTCAGCTGAGGACAGTATTCCACTTGATAAAGCTATACAGATCCTGGATGGAGATGGTGAGGCTCTTCACATTCAAATCAAAGACTCAAAAGAGATATTTCAGACCTACAGGAAAATGTATCTGGAAAAAAAGATGCAAAAGCCTTGATAGCACTCCTGTATCATAGGTCTTACTCAGTATCACTGGGAAAAAGATGCCAATATTAAAATGCTTTTTCCTGTGTTCTTCATATTTCTGAATAATTGTAAAAAAAAAAAAGGGGGGGGGTCTTGGCAATCTTTTCCCCCTGTTTGCTTCATATTTGTGAATGATTGAGATCTTATTCGTTATTTATTGCACAAATATGCTTTGGTGCTGAAAATGCCATTGTCAAATGTATTGTTTCTTTTTGGCATATTTGAATCTTTTTTTTTTTTTTTTAAAAAGATACAGGAGTTAGTTGAATCTTGACCAATCTGTTTTATTTTTTGATTCTGGAAAACTTCTACTTGTGGTACTTTCCATTGCTGGCAGTGGAAAAATGTTCCTACTGGAAAGGGATTGCAGTGGATTCCCAAACATTACACCTTTATTTCCTACTTATGCTAGTCTGATTATTGTGTTTCTAACAAGGCTTTCTATTTTTGTAGAAACTTTTTTTTTTAAACTGGGAATACAAATATAAAACCCTCAGATCAAACATACAGATCAGGGGATACCATGAAGTATTTATGCTGCTACCCAGTTTTCTTACATTTCTTTTTGTGAACTTGTACAAATTGAACTCTGAGATCTTCATCTGATCGCAATGCTGTAAACTGATAGTTGACTGAAGACTCCTCTTGTTTCTCTCTCTCTCTCTGCTTTCTTTACGCTTGAAAGAAAAGTGTGATTGTTGAAGTGCAGGGAGTTTGAATTCACTCTTATCCGAACTATGTTGCTCACTTTAACCAGACTGTAATTAATTTGTTTATAAAGTTTTAGATAATGTTTGACTACACATTCACTGTGACATAAGAGTTATATTTGTTGCTGGATATTTTTTAAGTGCCATTTCATTATTGTTCAGAATTTTTAATTGAATCCTATTTTTTCAGAAATTTGGTACTTGAGTCTTTCTGTTTAAACCTTTCTACTGAAAGTAAAAACTCTGTAGATATTTCATTGAACAATTTTTATACTTGAAATAAACTTTTGAAGGCTATGCCTTGTCTTTTTTTTTTTAGCATAAAAGTATAAAGTTGTGTTTATTGCACTTAGTTAAATAGGCATTGAAGATACTCCTGTACATGAAAAGCAGCTTTAAAATAAGTGCCAGATCTTCCTTCTTAAAAGGTTTCATAGTTGCATGTGAGAACTGGACTCAAGGCCAGGCTTTTTCTAATGAACTCCTAACAGCATGCAATTATACTTAAGAAAATACATCAGGAATGTTTTTCTCTTCAGCAGCTTTTTTCTTTTTTTTTTTTTTATTTCCTCCTGTTCCGACTTGGAGTTGGGAATTGGTTGGAATGAGTACTTAAAAAGTCTTCAGTATTACCCTATTCCTGAAGATATGTGCTTGTAGGCATCTTGGATAGAATTACCCAGTGGAGCATAACATTATAATTTCCTAGTTCTATTTGTATGCTGAATTAAAAATTGGCTTTTTTTTTTTGGAAAAGTCCTCTCCTTCCATCATGCTTACATTTCTTCTCTCAAACTAGGGAACTATTCAGGAGCTTTTTAACTCCCTTCCTGTCTGACACAGCTGTCCTAAGAACTTAGATTTTTTAATTTTTTTTTTCTGGCTGGCTGTCCAACTATTAGTCTGTGGGGAATGTTGCTACTGGAGAATTTTGTAAATGTTGGCAACTCTGCAAAGATTTTGTATTTTCTTTAGGAGTTTAGCACCTGTATTATACTGCCTGCATTAAGAAAAATTCATTGTAGTCTTAAGTGTACCCAGTACAAACAACACGTAGTTCCTGTCAGGAATTTGTTTTGGGTTTTGTTCTGTGTAATGATACATGAGGCTGACTTAAATGCTTGAGTGAATTCTTTTCAATAGGAAATTATTCAATCCATTGACCCATGGTGATTATGTTGTAAATATTTGGAGAAGTTTGCTGAACTGACCCTGTGCACCCAATAAGTGAGAATATATCCACTGGGACTCAGAACCGACAACTACATTTTCTTTCTCTCTTATACCAAGGAGTGAATGTTGGCTCTGTGACCATGTTTACATGGTGATTTGTGTTTACACTGCTTTGGTACGGCTAGGATCTTTGATAGGCTGGCCACATCCTTTCTGCTTGGTTCATGTGTGGGCTCAGTAGCTATTCTGTAAGCCTTTGCACTTAAAGTACTTTGTGCTTACAGCTGGCCTCTAACCTATGCTACACTTACTGAATAATTGCTGCATGCAGGTGTGTACTAAGAGGATTGTGCCAGATGCTCTTAGTTGCTGTTTCTCATGCTCCTTATGGTGCTGACTGAAGCCACAATACTACAGCAAGCCCTTGGTCTTGGACAGGCTAGGTGCTGACATCCACCTAAATGTGACTACTGTGAAAAAACTAGTGCTATGTTGCTTGAAGCGAAGTGACAAATGTGAGCATGAGGGCGTTCACAGCACATCACATCATGTATGTGATGTGTGCCCATTGTCTTGCATGTTGCCTGGACATGAAAGGACTTGTAAGATGAGTGTCACCGGTACGGTTACTTTGTACAAACCATGGATCCTGTCATGGCTCTGAGAGCACTACTAGGTCTTAATGGTCCTGATTATCCCTATGTGGGACCTCCACCCACATCCCCTGCTCTTGGGCCCAAGAACTCCATTTAACATCAAGCCAGGGCTTCAGTCCCTGCCTGAGCGATGTTCAAGATCTGCTACTGATCTCTAGCTCTGTTACAGTCATGCCTGTGTGTGGGCATGGAAATTGCCCATTGATCCAGCCCCTGACCCATGGACAATCTTCCTGCCTGGACTCAGATGTATTACTATGAAGCTGCCTGTCAATCATGACTATGTCTGACCTGGGTTACCATTACTGGATCTGATCTTGGCCTGCAGATTGACTTCCCAGCTTCAGATTGGCTCTCCTTCATCACTACAAGCTTGTCCGGTGATCTAGATTCTGGCTTGACCCTGGTTACCATCACTGTTCTGCCTGCCTTGCTTGGGTGCTGTGGGGATGGGGCCTTGGCTGGTGAGGCCCCCGCCTTGCCAGTCATGGTATGTCCCTCAGCTTGTGGCCCCTGACACTTAGGGAACTCCTGGTCCTTGCTGAGCCCTGACAGATACAGGATTGTAGGATGTGGGCGTGCAACGTCCTAATCTGTTGGTGGCCGTCTTCTCTCTTCTTCCTATTCCCTTCTAGGAAACTTTCCGTGTCAGTAAGAGCAGCTCCCACTTCTATGATTCTTGCCTTTGTGCCCCAAGAGAGTCATGGATGAAGTTCCTAGTAAGTGTGAAAAGGTAAATGTCATTTGCCACCCATTTTCAAAGACGTATGATGACCCACGGAACTGCAGGAGACTGGTCAGCGAACCTTACCTCTTTATTGGGGAAGATTATAGAATAATCCTCCTTGAAGCCATGACTACCCAAGTACAGTAAAGATAAGGCGTTTTGGAATAGTCAGCGTGGATTTACAAAGGGTAAATCACACCTGACCAACCTGATAGCCTTTTATGATGAGATGACAGATCTTGTGGACAAGGGGACTGTAGAAAATGTTTACCTTTAACAAGGCTCTTGATGTGGTTTCTTATAGTAGTATTGTAGCCAAATTGGAGAGAAATGATTTGGATAACTGACCTACACAGTGGGTGGAAAATTAGCTGACCAGCTGGGCTTGGAGTGATACTGTCTGTGATCAGTGGTACAGAGGCCAGCTGGCATCTGATTACTACTGCATTCTTCAGCAGTTGATACTGGGGCTGTCATTGTTTGCTGTCTTCATTAATGAATTGGAGAATGGGATATAATGAACCTTTGCAGGTTTGCATGGAGAAATGGTGTCCTCAGGAAGCTCGAGAGTAACTTTCTGTGGAAGTTCAGGAAAGGCACACAGGTTGTCTCCCAACGAACACTTGCTTCCTCTTGCTTCCAACAGGTGAAACTAGAAATACTCAGAAGAGCTGGTTTCTAATGGTGTGGTGAGGCTATGGCCCCAAAGGAGGGCCTGTCCAGCAGATGCCTATCTTCAGCTTCAGGCAGCAATGCCTGTGTAGAAACTGGGCTCACATCTGCTCCAGGACCTGATAAGGAGCCCCTGCCCTGACCATCTGGTGAAGTGATGTTCGAGAAGGTCAACAGGGTGGAAGTCTGTGTAACAGCAAGATAACAAATTTGACATGTTTAACTGCAATGCTGTTATTTCCTTTGACCAGATAGGAACACAGATGCTATAAATTCAGTGGCGATTTACTTGACATAATTGTCACGGCATGTTGTAAATCACACACACTGTCTTGCCATATGTCTAGTCATACAGTGACCTGGTCCTTGTAAACCAAGAATAAAATTAGTCATAAAGAGAAAAAAAAAAAAAAAAAGGCTGGAAAACATGCATTACAAAGTGCTAGGCTTGGGAACTTGGAAAAATGTTACCATCACATTTGGTGTTGACAGTACTTTCCTTCCTGGGTGTTGTAAGTAATCTTTTTTTCCTACTGATGCTTCATTAACTGAGTGCTAGGTAAGCGTGTGCTCTGCTTTCCAATCAGGAGTGATTTTCTTGGTGGCAGACAGGTGGGTTGTAATCTAGAATGCAACCTTTATTCTAGAAACCTGGTCCTTTAAGCTAAGTCTTCCCTTAAACTTGGCTGTAGTGGCTACACTTACTACATCCCTGTCTCAGTCCTTGTATCTCTACCTTCCTAGACCTACCCATTTTTCCCTTCCTTTTGGAAACTTTGCCTTCATCGTCACTTTTTTTTTTCCCTTCTGGGAGTTCCTGTTGAATTTGCAAGGTGCCACTGCAACCTTGTTTTTTAGAATCTTTTTTGCTTCTCATCTTCCTGGGCTCCAACTTGTCTTGCTCTGCCTGCAGGCCCCCAGCCTTTTTTCATCCCAACAAAGCTCACAGTCTTGAAACTTTTCCTGGGCTCTAGCTCCAGCACTACAAGCTCAACTATACAAAGCCTACCTCATATTTAGACTTCTGCATTTAAGCCAGGGAGCTTTTTTTTAAAAT